GATGATGATGATGATGACGATGATGATGATGATGATGATGACGATGATGATAGAATACATAATACAGAATAGTTGTGATTCAATTGAGAGTATGTCATGTGTACTACACTGGTAGTCTGCTGCTACTCTTATTCCTACCATTACTAATACCAGCACAATTATTTCCACTGCTACTATTGCAGGAACACTGTCACTACTACAAGCTACCATTACCATTACTATTAGGAGTAGCATAGCAATTGCAACCATATAAGATCTCCTAACACGGAATTCTCACAGTGTGTACTAACTACTATAAAATGTGATGAACAGAATATAACATTGACAACTCAAAGTTCATCGCTCCCACAATCTCAATGGCAGATAAAACAATAGGAAATTCTCAAAGCACAAACAAAGAAAACTAACCAAGACATTTTTACTTTAAGGAAAATACAGTGTCACTACTACTAGCTACCACTACCACTACCACTACCATTACCATTAGGACTAACATAAGAACATAATTTCATAAGGAAAACACACGTACTGGTTTGTCGCTGAAGCCAAATCCAAGGAAGTCTAGAGCTATAACCCGATTGTATTTGTTCTCAAGAAACTTGTCCCATATCTGAAACAGAGTATTATATATAGGAAACCACAGCATATCACATGCTAGCAAATAAAGTCACAATTAAGCAAGGTATGCTGCTGAATAGATCTGAAATAGAATAATGCATAGCATGAAACTATAATATATATACTATGTGCTAGCAAAGTAAGTGACAAAAGTGAGGTATGCTACTATACATAGAACTGGAATGGGATAACACAGTGTGTGGAACCACAATATATACTATGTGCTAGCAAAGCAAGTGACAAAAGTGAGGTATGCTGTCGCATCTTATACTCGCCTTCAACCAGTCCATGCTAAAAGTTGGAAAACCATGCAGACAGATTAGAACTTCGTCACTGAAGCGCGTTTCATCCGAACTGCTTCTCTGATCTGAAGAGCAGAGCATCATCATTCACTTCAAGAAAATCTTGCCATCTTTTCATCCGGGCGTGTATGAGACTCATTCCAGTATTTAGCGCTAGTACTATAGCCCTCGTTGCCACAGGCACTGCGCTACACGCCTGTGGCAAGAAAGGCTATAGTACTATAGAGTTATCCAGCATTATATTAGCACGTTCCGAAAGACTTCTGGGGTATTTTTCCACAGTAGTGGGTACGATTACTAGGAAACAGTCATGCATTATCATCATCCTTGGCAGGGGCGTAGCCAACCTTTCCAAGAGGGGGGATTCCTTCCAAGAGGGGGGATTCCAAACCTACTATATACTGTACTAATAAAACTTCGTTAAAATTTTCGTTTCATGCTTTTATATACATACTGTATCAGATATGTGCTATTTTGATACAAACCAGGGGGGATTCCGGAATGCCTGGAATCACCTCTGGCTACGCCCCTGCTTGGCCACCTCCACTAGCAGCAGTATTAAGCCCACTCCACACCACGACGTGCGTGCGTGCGTGCGTGTGTGCGTGTGCAGGTAAACGTGTGTGCATGTGTGCGTGCGTGCGTACGTGCGTGTGTGTGCAGGTACACGTGCGTGCGTGCGTGCATGCATGTGCACGTAGACGTGCGTGCGTGCATGCATGTGCACGTAGACGTGCGTGCGTGCATGCATGTGCACGTAGACGTGCGTGCGTGCGTGCCAGTGTTGTAGTCGAGTCCGCACCCCCCACCCGAGTCCGAGTCCGAGTCCACACCACCCGAGTCCGAGTCCAGTTTTGATAAAAAAGGAGAAAAATCGGAAAAAGGGAAAAAATTGAGAAAAAAGGAAAAAAAGAAAAAAATCGCAACAGTGCATCGTAGACATTCGAAAGTATATAGTGATGTTTCACGTGACGTCATAGGTCAGGTCACGTGTATTTGTTATGTGTTGTGGTTGGCAGAAGCGAAGCGTGCTGCTTGACATTCACAGATGAATGACCACATGGTCTGATAGAAAGCGCTGTTCGTTCGTAACACTATTTTAACTCGTTTGTTTTTTGGGTTTAAAAGTGATATTGAATGAGGTGTCTCAAGTTAGCAAGAGGCCAGGGACCAGAATGAGCACTCGGGAAGGGCCGTTTTCGGCCATCTGGGGGGTTTGTGAAACCAAAAATTTTCTTGTACGCTCCGCGCCAACCGATGGTCGCGCTCCGCTCAGATAGTCGTGCCTACAACCAGAGTATATGTTAATTTATAAGCTCTGCTACAACTTTTAATATCATGGCTACGCCCCTGACGTCATGTCACCCCGGCCTGAATCAGGCACCCATAACGAAACACAACTTGGCCAGGTGCCAGGGCGCAGCCGTGGCGAGAGAGAGCCCGCGTTAGTGTAGAGCGGTGGCGAGGGAGTAATGGAAGCAGCCACATGGCACTTGAAGCGCATCAACGCCGATGATGATACGCTTCAAGTGCCTGTGTCGTGTGTAGCGCGCGCCACCTCTCTTACCCGGCACATTTATGATATCCATTCACTCATGAGCGTGAGCGCGAGCAGCATATTTGTGTTGGACTTCAGCGCTATCAAATATTAACGAAGGTAAGTCGTATTTTGTCTAATATAGCTTATTATTGTTTAGTCTAATGATAATTTACCTGTTTGTTTATAAATAGATATCTTAATTCTGCTAAACGAAAGATAGCAAACCCGCTAACCAGCGTTTTGCGGTTACCAACAGCAAAAAAGCTACAAACAGCAAAAAAGCGGTCTACCAGTGGAACATCGTCATGTGATTTGCATCTTACGGAGGAGGGGTGATAAATGAATGAATAAATCATCTTACGGGAGAGGGTGATGACTGATTGAGGCTATATAAGAGCTATGGGGTGTGATTTGCATCTTACGAGGGAGGGGTGATGAATGAATAAAGCTCCAAGAGCTACTGTGTATCATTTGCATGTTACGGAGGAGGAGTGATGAATAAGTAAAGCTCTAAGAGCTACTTATTAATTCCCACCTTACATGAGAGGGGTGGTGAATGAAGGATTGTGTATTTTGTGTTTCTGTGCTTGTATGTACGCTTGTGCGTATGTTCGCACGTCTATGCGTGTGTATGTGTAATTCACCCATGACTGCATGCGTGGGTGCATTTAAGTGGCAGGACGTGGAGAGTGGCTGTATACGAGTATCAGCCTGTGCACTTAGTGTGGTTGTTTCAATCTGACAGCATATATGGTCTTATCGTATAATATCGAGTGAAGTGAATTGGCATTCCTGCGAAATATGTAATCAACGGATATATATATATATATATTAATCCTGCTGTCAGTGGAAGTAGCCAAGGATTATGATAATGCATGACTGATGGGCCAAGCTTAGTTTAGCACCTCGGATTAGTTTAGCACATATGTGAAAACACATTTGCGGGGTCTCAAACTATCCTTGATCCCTGGATAACTCTAATACTAGGTAGCCCTTGTTAATTGCCACAGGCGTGTGCGCGTGTGCGTACGTGCGAGTGCATGCGTGCGTGCGTATGTGTGTGTTGCAAATTGCAATACTGTGCCGGTGGGGGCAGACTTAGACTTGACAATACCAATATGCTGCCAGTGCTTAGAGCTGCTTTCACCTCAACCCAACCAGGCTGTGTGACTGACGTCAATATACATAGGTCAATAGGTATTCTAACCCTAGCAATAGGCCTACTGTTTCTTGGAGCTACTTTCACCTAGGCTACCGCACTTACTATTAATAGTATAGAAGTAGAAGTAGAATTAGAATAGTATTATCAATATCAGGGCCAGGGGATAATTTGTCATTATTAACCACTGCTATTATATACTACCTAATTACCAACTATAACATGACTGCTTGACTTCGAAGACTATACCTTTATAAAAGATTTTATAGTCTCTGTATTTGAAAAAATGGCCCGAATCGCGCCAGTCTCTCAGTTCCCTCGACATGAGTGGAGCGGGCCATGCAAGGAATATGGCCAAGGCAGTTGCAAGGATGGCTGTCCATGTAATCACACAGCCCATCGGAACACACAACATGGCTCGCATGATCTTGAACGTGGGCTCTTACGATCTTACACAATACTGCACCTGTCAACGAAACAGTGAGTCAGAAGTAGCTCTAGTAACTATAGACCACGTACAGTTGCCGCTGGCCAGTTACTAGAGCTAAGTCAGAAGTAGATATTAGTGTACACTTCACCATACAAACCACGTATTTACAAACACATTGTAGCGGTGTACCGTAGAGTCCACAGGCACTTGGGCCGTATCAATAATAAAATGAAGGTTAATAAGCCTACAACTTGTCAGTACTAGACCTGGCAGTATTCATAGTTTGATTTGACCTAATAACTTCACTTCAATACCGTCCAATACACCGCTGCAACACACATTCCTATACAGTAAAAACCCACGTATAAGAACCTAGATTTTCCCAAGTTAGCCTCAATAGGTTCTTATATAAATGGTTCTTACTGGAAAATTAGGCTCAAAAGGTTAATTCTTAAATAGGTTCTTGTTTCTACTTTTAATATGTATAACTTGATTCAAATTGTGTTAAAATTTTCTTCCACAGACTGCAATTTTTGCTAATTAATACCCATGATGGGCTACAGTATAAGTTTTTCAGTGCTTACCATACTGTATGATACAGTATGTATCCAAGGAAACAAAACAACATGCAAAAAGATATGTGCCAAAAAGCTATAGATACAGCCAAGAGCAAAATGTATACAAGTCTACCAAATTTAATAAATCGCTACAATGCTGGCCAAGGGAAGGGTCTTGAGATCCCTGTTGACTATAGGTTGGTTGGAGATAGGGGTTACTTGAAGAGGTTCACAAGGAAACTTCAAACCAAAGAATTTGCTGAAGAACTCAGTATTACTATTAGTGACATTAGAAAGTGCTAACCCACATTCAACACAGCTCTGTGATTGTTTTTATTCAACAAAACAATATATCTGCTAGTCTATTGGACTCTGAATGGACATACAGTACTGTAATGTGAAAACAATACATCTGCTTATTTCTCATGTGCTGACAAGAACTATGCTTCACTGAAGAGACGCTTGTATCCTTGTTTGATAATATTTTACATTTGCAGATATAATAGGGTCTATGTCCCCCAGGGTACTGCCGGAACGTACCCTGGTAACTATCTGGCTGATATGGTTAGGGTTAGGGTTAGGGTTAGAGTTAGTGTTAGGGTTAGGGTTAGGATCGAGTAGGCGTAGGCGACTCCCTAGACTCGTTAGTGGAGTAGGTGAGGTACGGTCCGGCATATTAGATAGTAGTATTTAGTACCAGGGTACGTTCCGGTATACCGAACCGTACCCAGGGTACGTTTGGGTACAAAGATAGAGAACATGGGGTAGGTACTGGGCGTAGGTAGGGAAAATTGTGTATCTCGTTGATTGAAAATAAGCAATGGCAGGTATTCAGATACAGTTTTAGTGATATTTTAGACAAACAATAACCTAGGCAAGCTCCTATTTAATAATATATGCACCCAAACTAAGTGAAGGATAAATAGTACGCCTCTACTACCCACTACCGTTGTACTACTTTATTTACTGTATGCTTTATTCTCCGCGGTAGTTACCCTGTGAACGTGGATGAACTAGGAGTACGAGAGTGAAGCAGATGACTTTATGTTGTGATTATAGCGTGTGATGATTAATTCGATTAACGCGGGATCTTGAATCTCCAATTACGTAATTTTGATTAACAGCGCTAATGAAACAAAACCCCACGGTAATGTATTCATGCATGGTTCGTGTTGCTGACAAAAGTTTCTCACACAAAAAACGTGTTATTTCCCATTTCCCAGTTAATTTATGTTGCGATTTCGACTCTCCCGCTTCTCCGGTGGGCTTCCATTCCCGAATTGAGACGACTGGTATTTTCCGGTTCCGAGATAATTGAAAAGGCGCAATCTCGCTTGTTGATAATAAGAGTTCTCCAGTCTGGCAGAACGCCCACCTAACGCTGTGTGATGACTGGTGTAGCTTCATGCAACTGATTATAACCTACATACCTGCATATATATACTTCGTCGTTAGTGAGAATTAACCGTAGGGCGATCATATGTCTGTCTACCTGTTCGCATGCAAATGATGTCGCCGGCGAAACACTAGACACGTTTCCACAGAATGAACAGCAGAGCTAGAAAAAGAGGGGAAGGGAAAGGTAGGGAGGGTAAGTGGGAGAGAGGGAGGGGGAGGGAGGGAGAGAGAGGGGTAGGGTGAGGTAGTAGGAGGGTGAAAGGGAGAGAGGGAGAGCTAAAGCGACAGACAGAAACAGGCGAGTGAACGAGGTCGTAATTTTAGAGAGCTAGAGGAAGAGGTGGGGGAGTGATTGAGGAAAGGAGAGGGAGAGGGAGAGAGAGATAGACAGAGAGAAGCAGGAGAGTGAACGAGGACATAAAAGAGAGCTAGAGCAAGAGGTGGATTGATTAAGGGAGGGAGAGATTGAGAGATACATTGTGGGTAGGCGCGTTTGTTGTAACGAGATACCTTTGCCCAAAACTTAGCTACAGAATATCGCCACCTTAAATGGCTTCGTCGTGAATAGCAGACGTCTGCATCAGGCTTCTGAGCGAGGTTAGTGCTCATTGATTATGTAGGAATGTGTGTGGCTTCATGCCACTGATGGAGGCTGCGGCGTAAATATTACTTATAAAGATGCAGAGAAGTCCAGGGTGGGGGGGGAGGGGTACAGTCAGATAGGGTGCAGAACCGCAGATGCAATATTTATACATATCTACATCTATCTAGCGATCTCCACTTCACCTTCATCAATGCCATGACTGACTCTTATTATCATTACTTTCTTCCCCCACCACCTACTCTCTCTCTCTCTCTCTCTCTCTCTCTCTCTCTCTCTCTCTCGCTCCTTTTCTGTCTCTATCGCAGGGATTTTTGTGAAAGGATTGCGTGTCAACGCCGCATGACAAGACTTCTGAAATGCCGAGAGAAATGTCGCCCCCACAGTAGCTTCACGCACGCACGCACTCACAACAATAACCCTAACCCTCACATGAACGCTAACACTAATCCTAACACTAACCCAAACCCTAACCCTAACACTAACACTAACACTAACACTAACACTAACACTAACACTAACACTAACACTAGCACTAACACTAACACTAACACTAACACTAACACTAACACTAACACTAACACTAACACTAACACTAACCCTAACCCTACCCCTAACAGGCCATACTAAACTATACTACACGATATACTATACTAACTAGGCCTACTCGGCCACCAGACTTTAGAACACGCGCACATGCACACGCACGCACGCGCGCACACACACATACACACACACACACCGGCGCGCGACAGTGAGGCGCGCTTTGGCGGCGGCGGCGACAGCCTGCACTTATAGAAAAGCTATGCACTGTGACTGGGAGCCCGTTACGGTTTATGTACGTGGACCGCGAAGTTGAACGCACAGACGACGGCGCGCGTGCGGTGACAAAGGGAGTGGCAGTGCAAACGAGAAATCCGTGTATGATTGATTCACATCTTATGGAGGAGGTGTGATAAATGAATGAATTAGTGAAGCTCCAAGAGCTATAAGTACTGTGTATGATTTGCATCTTACGGAGGGGTGATGAATGAATGAATTAATGAAACTCCAAGAGCTAAGTATTGTGTATGATTCGCATCTTACGAGGGAGGGGTGATAAATGAATGAAGCTCTAAGAGCTACGGTGTATGATTCGCATCTTACGAGGGAGGGTGATAAAGGAATGAAGCTGCAAGAACTACGGTGTATGATTTGCATCTTACGGAGGGGGTGATGAATGAATGAATTAATGAAACTCCAAGAACTAAGTATTGTGTATGATTCGCATCTTACGAGGGAGGGGTGATAAATGGATGAAGCTCTAAGAGCTACTGTGTATGATTCACATCTTACGAGGGAGGGGTGATAAATGAATGAAGCTCTAAGAGCTACAGTGTATGATTCGCATCTTACGAGGGAGGGGTGATGAATGAATGAAGCTCCAAGAGCTAAGTACTGTGTATGATTCGCATCTTACGAGGGAGGGGTGACAAATGAATGAAGCTCTAAGAGCTAAGGTCTGTGATTCGCATCTTACGAAGGGGGTGATGAATGAATGAATTAATGAAGCTCCAAGAGCTATTTATAAGTACTGTGTATGATTCGCATCTTACGAGGGAGGGGTGATAAATGAATGAAGCTCAAAGAGCTACTGTGTATGATTCGCAACCTTACGGAGGAGAGTTGATACGCAATTTTCGCCAGATGTCGCTGTCGCTGTCGCAAATCAGACGAACCCACCGACGAACCCGCCAAACATCCGGGTACCCTGCCAAGCAGACGACCTTTTCCTGGCCGCCGCGAAAATGGTGAAGACGTTTTTAGAATTTGTGTGCAGAAACTTCGATCAAATATCATGCATACGGAGTTTTTTTGTGGCTGGAAACGCTAAAATAACAGACTATGGTGTTCACTGGTCTAACTCAAGCAGAAAGAAAGTTTGGAAATTAAGTGTTTGAAGGAAAACTTTGCTAACTAAAACGAGTACGTGGATTGCAAAAATTGAAAATCATTTCGCCAAGGCCGGTTGAGATTATAACTAGGCCTACTTGATTAGTCTGCATATTCTAAGGAATTTTATCAAACTTAGAGCGAGACAAAGTTGATCAAATAGACAGATCAACACTGACCTTCACAACAGCTACAGCTACGAAGATGGGGTACTGCATCGTATCATTCAGATTCAGGTAGGATTTTACAATTTTACTGATGACGAGGAGTTTGTGCAGTGATGTTGATAATGTTTTACCAATGTACCATCATTGTTGAGAAATATTGCTTCCAAGAGCTAGTAATATTATGTAAGAACGTAGTGTTGTATGTATTATGTATGCTGGGAATTATTTGGGCATACTGTATATAGTGTATAGTGTTTACGCGTGTAGTAAGAATGTGGCTGGCTGACTGTCAAGATAGCAGGCGCCAGAGAGTGGTCACACAGTGCATAGATAGAGAGATATAGGTGTGAAAATGTCAGTCAGAGCGACCAGAGACAGAACGGGTGTGTAAGATTCTTAGAAAGTCAGGTGAAGAGAGAGCCGTGTACATGTGAAGAGAGCCGAGTAGAGTGAGCAGACCGAGAGAGAGAAGAGAGAGAGAGAAAGAGAGAGAGAGAGAGAGAGAGAGAGAGAGAGAGAGAAGAGAGAGAGATGAGAGAGAGAGAGAGAAGAGAGAGAGAGAAAGAGAGAGAGAGAGAGAGAGAG